TGATTTAATAACCATTACACGAATAGGGGAAATAATATTGTACATTTTTGCTGTTTATATTATAAGAACTATTATAGTATAATACTGAAGGGCGAAAGTGATTAGGCAAAGCTTAATAAACATATATATCCCATACTCATTAATATCTATAGTACATAACCACTAGATTGTGGCACATTTGAGGGATGCAGAAAAAAGTAATAATTTTTTAATGTCTCCTAAAAACATAATTTCATGGTTCAAAATAAAAATTATTCAAAATCTTTATAGTTATTTACTAACCCTGCAAATAAGTGGCCCAAGGTAGGTACTTACATATAAACCTACATATAGTGTTCGCTTTGATCACAACGATATAAGTTAAATTGCAAGTCTAAGCTCTCAAGTAGTAGTATATATAAATGAATGTACATAATATTATTATCATACCAAAATCATAATTCCATGATAAGTGTCTTGTAAAGATAATATTCTGTTTGTTTAAAATGTAAATTTTTTTTACGACAAACTTAACGACTATATAGTTGCGTATATTCACAAATATATTTTACATTTTATGATTAAACCATCAAAAAACATTCGTCACGGTCATTCATTTGACATAAATTCATCCGATAAAGGTCAAACTATAGCTGTGGGACCCGGAGACTGGAAACATTACTCAACTTTTCGATACGCCATATTAAACGGATTTTTTTAGTATGTCCATATCAATATTTACCAACTGTCCCTAAATTTAATAATGATTGTTTAAAAAATATATATATAAATACATATCAGACAATGAACAGGAATGTCTTCTAATTGCAGGACAACAGTAAGCTTCGAGCGAAGGCGGACGAGCAACGCTCACTCAATACAACGAAAAAAATATAATATAGAAAGGTGAATCTTCGCGGGGTCGTTAAAATGTCCAAGGGGCACTGTACGTGTGAAATGGTATATGATTATTTATAATAGTCTAATAGTCTTATGTCTGTCTCTCTCTCTCTGAAAATATCTCCCTCTCTCCCGTTTACCCTGTCACATACATCGCTTGAATGTGGAAAAAGTTGATAAACGGCTATTTTATTTTTTTATACTCACACGTATTGAATAAAACAAATTACTTAGCAATCACCGCCACGAATATACGCAATGAAAATCGAGACGAACCGCACAGTAAACTGTACACATGTATAGTAATATGTACGATTATAGGTATAAGTATACGAATTGCGCAATACGCAGCGGCCCAAGTCAGTGGGTCACTGTATATGCCCGTTTTTGTAGGATTAAAATGATAAAATAAATAGGTAAAAGTATGTCCAGTGAGCGTTGCAGCACACAACATGATGCAGTCAAGGGGCCACGCAAGATTTTTTAACAGTAATAGATAATACAATCGGGAATACGCGTCTTCGAAACGTTTCCTTTAATACGATATTTCTATCACTTACATTCTAAAAAAAAAAACTGCGTCGGCCATAGGCGTATAGGTGTATAATATAATCTCTAGCCCCGGAAAAAAATACAATAAAAATTCCACGTCGTACAACATGCTAATAAAAATCAAATAAGAACATAAAATACCGACTTAAATTGCTAAGATTCTTTAATATGACACCACCCGCCCAACTCAGTAATAAAACCTTAAAAAAACTGCTAAAGTTAAAAAAATATATATTTAATTTATCATATGTTTAAATCAAAATCCGAGATCTGAGCTCGAAAATTAATTTATGATGATTGTAATGCAAGCAAAAGTTTACAACTACCGATGCTTTATATAGGTATAATGTATAGCCGGTGCCATTTTAAAGGGCATTAAATAAACTATAAAACCGAAATTGAAAGTCAAAGAATTTATTACCTAGTTTATTAGTCAAATCGGTACGATTTTATTTTCCAAAAAATGTTACCTAGAATCAAATAAAAATCATAAAATTACATTTGTTGTAGAAAAGTACATATATATATACGAAACTGAAAAACTACGATTTTGTGGTGCATGCTGTAATCATTTCACTTATTGCATGTAGACCGTTGTAAGCAATGCGTGTAATAATAAGAGAAAAAGTCAAAAGTGCACATTTGTTGAATGTATATCATCTACCTTTATCAAAGTATCAAACGAATCATAAACTATTTATACGATACAGCTATTGCGATCTCATTTTACACTTACACACGTTTTGTCTTGTACATGTAATCTTATATTTTAGTCAAATTGGTTTAGCTTGCGGCTTGCAATAGTATTAGTCATTTGGACACTCGGTAAGTACCTATTGTGGTGGTTAATAAAAACTAATATCTCTTACCCGGAAGAAAAAAATACACTTAGTAATTCTCCAAAGCTGTAATTTTGATAATATTATGACGTGTTCTTTAAATGAATAAAAGAGAAATGGCAATGAGAGATACCTAATGTCTTAAAATAAACTACGTCCATTGTTTTTTTTTCTTTTTTTTTCTTAAATGTTATATTTAAGTATTAAAAATAATTTTTCGGCTATTATACAGATATTATATAGTGGATAAGATAATGATAAATTATCATGATTTTCCACCCGAGAAAGGCTAACTGCGAATGCTTATGGTGCCATTACGAGTATAAGCCAGCAGCTAGAAATTATCATTTTATTATCGTCTCTATTCAAGTTTTAAGGAATACAGTTTCGATACAATGATATTTAAGCTATATGTAAAATATGCAGAACAATAATATTATTTACATAATACGCATAAAAATTATTAATTATCATATTGCAGAAAGACTTTATCTGCATATTACACGGTCTTAAACGATACACTGTTGAAATGTGTCATTATTATTATATTTTTTTGAACATACTACATTCTACCGAGACTTCGACAGCTACTTTATGTATTTAATTCTTTTTTCTTCGTTTTACCATTGCATAATAATCTGAAAACATATTATACTGCGAACATACTGGAATTCAAGTCACGCCACCTTTCTGGGTTAATTTTGATGTTTCAAAGTTAAACGCACCGTTTGTACTCAAAACATTTGTGTCCAGAATTACTAATCAGTAATCTGTTTAGCTTCTACAATATTTGTTTGACCGAATTAATCAGTAGGTCTTGGCTAGGCTAGACTATCAGCTGGAACAGTTGAATAATTATTTAAAATATTTCGAAAGAAATAATTTTAATAAGTAAAAGGCCACTGAAGTTTATTTTAGAATTTTTTTTTTTAATTTTCAAACCATGCACATCACATATAATTTAATTATACTTCGATAATCACTTAATTACTAGTAAAATGATCTATATCAAGTAAAATAGATAAATTAAAATTAAAAACATTTCGCGGGGTCTTTTTTAAAAGAAATAATATATTATATAATTCCATATTTCCATCATTCGCCACTTATTAGACGTATGCTTACAATTTACAAATATACCAATGAAACCAAACCATAATTCCAAAACCTCAAATATAAAACACGAAAACCCAAATGACCAAATGCCCAATCGTTTTTTATTGAACACACCTACATTATAACATAGCTATTTATTATCTAATATGTATGATATTAAAATATGACCATTGACCATTATACGCCGCAGAATGCAGATGTGAACATTCAACTAAGAATAAGAGTAAAAATATTTTATGTGCCTATACCTAGTACCTACCCGTAGTATTAATTTTATTTGATCCGTGTTTTCAGAAGTCTCAGTCATGTATATAATAAAATGCATAATAAATAATAATAAAATCTGTACCGGGTTCATCATCATAGACTTCAGTCACATTGGACCGACACTTTTAAGTTTTAACGCTATTCGATTTGAATAGCATAACGACGACAATGGCATTTATGCCTATATAGTTGTTATGTTTAGGTATAAACTTGTTGCATAATGGGCTTTGAATCGTTAAAAAAAATCTCCTATGATTTTAATATGATTCACTGCAGGTACAATGAAAAACTACACAAAAAAAATAGCACAGAACAACAATTTGTTGTTTAATTTATTTTATAGTTTCTTACGTCAATCGCATCCAGACACATGACAGTAATAATTTATCGTGGTATAATATAAATAGGTGCCTATATATAATTACGTGTATGCGACAAGTACATTAGTACATACAAAATTGTACGGACAATATATTTCGAACGCTATAAAACTAATAGTAAAAATCTTCTAGGTCAAGGTTGAGGATTTCACAGCTGTACATAATATACATATAATATGACAAGTAGATATATATTTTAATAATTTTAAGCTGCACACGAAAAAACAATAAAAGCGGTTTATTCAGATGTCTTTTTCTCCGTGTGTATGCATTTAATTGTATACTCAAAATTGTGGATAAGAACTGATAACTGATAGTATTTAAGTGTAGGTACTTATCCAGCCAACTGTAATATTATAATATACCTATAGTCACTTGATTAAGTTTATACATTAACGCGAATCGTTGTCCTTGATATATTGTAATTTTGGTCTGTTATTGTACACACTTACACATAGGTAATATTATCAATTACATCACAGGACTAAAAATCAATTTTCCAGTAGGTAGGTATCTATTTCTCACTCTTTCCAGTCTCAAGTTCACAAAATTAATTAATTTTTAAGTAATAATGTTTACATAAATTGTGAGTATTACGCTCAATTTTAATTGTTTATATTGTGCGTACAGGCGAAACTGGACGATAGTTCTTGAGATGGGGGGGGGGGGGACATATTACATTTGTATAATTTAATAGTGACTGCAATGAATCTAGGAAAAAAGCCCCAATATCAAAATACGGTAAAAAATCCCCGCCTATAAGAAAAGAAAGCCCAGTATTAAATGCATGATTCTTTTTTTTTTTGATTTGCGTGATTACATACTCGTATATTCATAATAATCATAGTATTATAATCATTACATTTATTTGATTAATTATTAAATTATTCTATTATATTATTATGCATCTAATTTATTATAGGTACTAGGTGGTACACTTATTTGATTAAAAAGTAGTTATTTAAAAAAAATTATATTTAGTATATGACATTACACAATAACTAATTATACCACAGTAAAAAATCATTCCATAAATAACATTCCTTAACATGCATTACTCTTTTTATAAAATATACAGGCATAGTTGCAATCTGCAATAATTGTATTTTGTCATTTGTATATAATTAAAAAAATGTTTAAAGTTAAAAAAATTTAAAAATGATTTAGTAGCATTGATTTCTAATGTAGTGGCTGAAAATCATTAGAAAATCTAATATACTTATATCATTATTTTTAATTGGTATACATTAGTTTTTTAAGCGGCTTTCAGTTAATTGTTTTGTACCAAGTTTTGTACTTCCATAATCTTCTACATTACTTGATGCTTATTTTGCTTGGTCTGCAGCAACTTCCATTTTCATTTTTATATGATATAAAAGTATATAAAAAAGATATATTATATATAATATGGTTATAGATATGTGGCTATAGATAAATAATAATATATTGTTTAAAAATTAAAAATAATGAAATGTATACTTTAATAAAAAAGTGTTCAATATTTAGTTGGTATTGGGATTTTTTCCGAATACCTCTGCAATACAGCTTATAGATATGTTTTTTAAACTCTTTCGGACTCTTTCTTTTTTGATATAGGAATCTTTGATTGGAAGGGGAGTGAAAGAGTTTAGTGTAAAGTCATGCGTGTACGACACTGTGAACTATAATAATATGTGTATTATAATAACATAATAAATTATGCTATACTATAAAAATCTTATGCATAAAATATCTACTGACTAGGTACTCCTCAAGCAAATAATATTTGATAGTTTGTGAAATTGTGTTGCATTTACTATTTTTTTTTTCATCAAATTTATATTTTAACTTTCAAGAAATCTTGATGTTGATGATTTTTTTTTTGTTTTGTTTGAAAGTCTACACCGAAATTATTTCACTTTCGTATTATTATCTACTTACCAATATTGTCCGTTGAACACGCGATACAAATAAATACATAGTATCTACTAGGTTTTTGAATAAAACAAGACATAATATTATTATGCTGTCTCATGAATAAATCACCTGTTTAGATAACATACCTATATGTATAACAGCTGCATGTGTTGTGCTGTATTATTCAGGTTATCTGCTGCGAGTATTATTATAGGTCGGAGCTCTAAAAACGGCCATAATCTTCCGGTGTTATGTCAACAGCAAGTGTGAAGTGGTCTATATCCGTGAGATTTATTCGGTCCAAAAAAAAATAAAAAAAACACAATATGTAATTATATATTACGACCGTATAATATAGTAATACACAATTCGTTGATATATACCCACTAGAGGTTCGCAGAATGGCAGGCACCTATGTATAAAAATAGACCACATTTAACGACAGAATAACCTGTTGTTCAGAGTTGAAACCCAATCATGCATTATATGGTTACAACTAATCATTTTATAATTACTACCCAGGTCATCTGCATAACTAATATTAGTACCTATTATTTAGGTGTACGATCTTATAATAACGAGTTTCCTTCATCATGATGGGTATATTTGGGAAAGAAATCGTGACACCCGAAAACCAAAAGTTTTTACAGCTGCAGCAGACGGTTCTTTAATGAAATTTACCTACCAATAGTACCAATGTATCTACAACCTACATGATAAATGTTACTTCGGATAGACTAACTAACACTAAATAATTTATATATAGGACCTAAGTCCTAATAAGTACCTACTGTAAAAATCGATCCCACGTGATGGAGTGGAGCCGCCAAGCATAATGTTGGTTTATCTCAATCGTAAGATCGAAATATCGTATAATATGCACGTACTACTTCATCCGTTGAACCTTATAAGGCTGCAGATGAAACGTTTTTCTTTTACTTTTTACAAGTCGTAAGCACGTCTTTTTTCGGGACCTACATAGGTAATATTATATATTTCACCGGCGGTCTACTTTCACCCGATTGGATATAATATATAGTCCGGCGGAACGCGCATTTCTTACATCATTATTTCACACGCGGTACTCATCCGTATTGTTACCAATATTGCGTCACATACCTAATAACGGACAACGGTACAGTTACAATGAAAATCTGCAGGTGGTGAGGTTTTATAGGTATTAACCGAAAGCAACCCTTCTCACATCGCGTGCATCGGCCTATACGGTTAGGGTTAATACCACAATGAGGTCATCTTACAGAGACATTAACGATAATAATATGTAGGAGAGTAGGTGATTATAATATTGTGCTAACATTAGAGCTTTGCGCAGTGATGACTATGAAATCGTATCTACAACGCATCGCAAACACTTTTTCGTTGGAATTTTATCGTTATTCCCGACCTACCACGCATTAATATAATTGTATGAAGGCATATAGTTATTCTTTAGAGTTCATCGATAATCCTTGTTGAAAACACAATAATATGTGATACGTCGATACGTCTGTTGTACACTTATACCAAATGTATTAGACGATAGGTAGGACTGTTCATGGTTATGGCCTCATGGGTACGTCTTGACTGCGTTTTATTCCGATTAAAGACTTATGGGTATAGGCGTAATATAGCTTATCACAGGTACTTGCAGGTTTAAGCAGACGAGAAATATATTATGTCAAAATACCCATCCACTATAGAATAAATAAATGTAGGTAGGTACTAACAAATATTATCTTATGAGCCTAAATAATAACGTGAAAACCCTTTTACCCATGGGTATAGGCAGTTCCACTGAAAAACATTGTTTATAAAAAAAAAAATGTAAACGACTTTTTAGTAATAGTTGCATGACGCAATAAACATAAACATGGAATCTACACTTTCTATATAATATTTATCCATCTATATATATATAAATTATACTACGACGGAGATCAAACATTGATGGATGATATGTGACCTTAAGTTTATACGTAATTTAAAATATATTTTAATCATTCGTTTTAATGTAAGATAATTTATCTGGGAACTGTTTTTCTGAGAAATAGCTATGCCTATACAAAAATATTATATAATATAATATCTTAAAATATGACTAATCCTTATAATATTCAAGGACTATAAAGAAATTTTAATATAAACCAAATATTGTTATCATGTTTTGGATTCATTATTTAAGAAATAATTCCAATCGAAGACTATAAAAAAATATTATAATATAGTATGTAAATATAAGTATTGTTATTTAACTATATATTGCCTTTAGTTTTTTTTCTTTACATAGAAATTGTTTTTAAACAGTCGACGATTAAATTCCATAGACTTAACTCTTTAAAAAATATTTTGATTTATATACTTATTTATTTGTATTCAACAGCTTTTGTTTTAATGACTTATATTTAAATGTTTTACTACTTTAGATGTCTATATATTAAAATGTAGTTATTACTTATCGTAATTTAATTTTTTTGTACTATCAGATACTATTTTTATTTTATGGTTTGAAAAAAAACCTTATATGGGTATATATGGATAAAAATCTTTTCTAACTTCAGTAAATATGAAATAGGTATACATTTTGTTATGCAATATATGTATCCAACGAAATATACTGGAACATGTTGCAAAACCATTATTTATTTGCCCAATTTTTGTATTTGATTAAAAGACGTGTAATGAAATATGAATAATAAATAAGTGTTTCTGGTGGATCTATCAAGTGTATAATATATGCATATACTATTTAACTTGAAAATATATTAAAATGTTCAGTAATGAATACATTTATAATATAAAAAAAGCACTTACATTTATTATATTAATTAAAAATATTTTTTGAATAATTAAGATTGTTAGGTAATCAGATAAAAACCGCGTATATGTAGTTATGCCACAAAAGTGATTAAATAAAGTTGATAAAAGGAAAATAAAAATTATAATGAACGGAAATGTACAAGTATATAACATATTTTGAATATATTTGCGCCTATTGTTCAGTGAATTATATAATTTATGATATTAATAAACTTTTTTTACATATGTATATTCTATACTAGCCCAATACTAAATATTTTGAAATTTAAAAAATCACGAACTGTACAAGTCTGTTTTTGATATTTTTAATTCGTTGTTGTTTTGAATGATTAAAGTCGTTTATTAACTCCGCTAGGGTTCCCGAATAATTTCTAAGTGTCTTTCAATATTTGTGTTGCATTTTTTGCTTTCTTTGTGAAATAATTAAAAAAACAGAAAGCAAAAAAGATTAATAACTTATAATAGTACTAAGAATGAACTTGGAATATATTTAAGATTTTTGGAGCCGATTAATGACATTTGATCATATTATATTATAACAATTCACATAGTCATTGCATGTAACGCTATGTCTACTCTTTCAACAATATAATATAATATAAGTTACCTATACCTATATTATTAGGTACCTATATTACAAGCGTAACATAGGTATCAGATTTACTTTTCGCAGTATACCTATACTCACATCGGGTTTGTTGTGTGCTGTGTAGTGACTAATTAGAATATATCGTTGATCGACTCGAAATGAGATTAAAGGACGAATATAATGTCTGTTGCATTATTTTTTTAAATTTAATATTTCAAAATGTTATACTAAAGTCTAACTATGGAATATAATATATTGGAATATGTATATTACATCACATATAACATTTGTTTTTAATTTTATTTGTATCAATCATTTACCACGTTTAATTCATTAATTGGTTAACTGATATTCCGAGAAATGCCACAATTAAGAATTAAACTTATTGTACAATTGATTCAAATATACGAAAAATAATGGTAGTTCAATTATTTAGGATGGTCAAATGAAATGTTTAAGTCACACAAATCTTAGGTATATTTTACTAAATTATTTCCATTCATTTTCTTATAGGTATGTATAGGTTATAGGAATGTTTAGTTATATAACGTAGTGCGTTTTAAACGAACAATTATCGTGGGATTATAACTTGCATACTGCTGCAGTGTTATACGTATATACATTATTATTTTTTCTTATGATTTAAGCAGTTACAATCACTTTATATTAGGATATAATGTAATTACTAGTCTGGGAATCTGCAAAGAAGTTTTTAATATTCGTTCCTTTCATTTTCAATCCCTACCAAGCGCGCGCGCCGTGTCCTGCAGGTGGGTGGTGGTTGTATAAAATAGCTGAGCAATTACATACAGCCATCCAATAGTCGGTGTAAGTTCGGTGACTAGTCAGTGAATTTTGTGGTTATTCTTTTCTGTTTATTTTAATACAAGTCAATTTTTATAAATTTTCAAAATGAACGGTCTTTTGTTGGTAAGTTACTTTTTATTTATTTATTATATTAAATCTATTTTTTTTTTAACATCGACGACGATATCTACCTGCTCCTACCACGTAGTAGGCAGTTGTTCTATCGTTTGTCTATAATATCTAAAACACCAGTGAATAATTTATTAGTAAAAATAATAGTGCGGTACAGCAGTGACTCTCCAGACGAAAACATTTTGGATAAAAACAAATATTTTTTTTAAACTCATCTTCTACATTAAATATTTGCTTATACTTACAATATTATACTCTATGTACTGCATAACACAATGTTATAAAATAATATATGCATCATCATAATAGTCCAGCGTTAAATTTCGTACACACGAGACGGGCATTGTATATAATAGAGCTTTCACTGTGTTTAAACATTCTACTATACGTGTTTCTATACTTGTGCAAGCGGCGTTAAACGTAAACTTATTGTTACTTGAGTATATTATAGTCGTATGTATATTATATTATTTTTCTTCTCTTGTGGAACTGCTGTTTTAAGCTCAGGCAGGTAATGATAAAGATCGAACATTTTAATATTACAGTGATTCTTATAAGGACCGTATAAGACTATTTATGCTTAACTATAAATAGCATCATTCTATATGGTCTAAAAAAACATTATTATTTATCAATAAGCTACAAAAAATAAATTGAAGTTGAAATAATTAAAATCAAAATATTATTATTTTTTCGTCATTTTAAAATTAAAATATTTTCGTTATTGAGGAGAATTGGAAAATGTAATACTAACTAAATTGAAAATAGAATTACTATGAAAAGAAACTTCATATGCTTTGAAATTAGAAGCTCATACGAATATATAAGTTTGGCACGTAAACGATTTATGAAATAACTGATGATTTTAACTCGAAATAAACTTAATCTGACGAACAAATGCTTTACCTATATCATAATATTATCATGTTTTCTGGTGTTCGATATTGTGTTTAACAAATGCACTTTTTATTGTGATGTTGCAGTGTCTCGTCGTCGCCACGGTCGCCATTGTCTCCGCTGAGCCGCCAAGCAGCTACAGCCGACCATCGTTCGGTGGTGGACACTCATCCGGCGGTTTCGGCGGTTACTCTTCCGGCGGTGGTGGAGGATACTCATCCGGAGGCAGCGGTTTCTCTTCCGGCGGCGGTGGATACTCGTCCGGCGGCAGCGGTTACTCTTCCGGCGGTGGCGGATACTCGTCCGGCGGCAGCGGTTACTCGTCCGGCGGCAGCTACGTGCCTGTAGCCCCAGGACCATCCACATACGAAGGACAGTACGTTGATGGACAATTGCTCGAACAGATCAAACAGATCGTACTCAGAGACGAAGCCCAGAACTCCGGATCCTCCTCCGGCGGATACCCGTCCTCGTCCTACGGCGCCCCGTCCTCATCTTACGGCGCACCGTCCTCATCCTACGGAGCCCCGTCTTCGTCTTACGGAGCCCCGTCATCGTCCTACGGAGTCCCGTCCCAGTCGTACTCCAGCCGCGTTGTTGGCGTCGAACTGGAACAGGTGAAGCCAGCCATCCAAGTGGCCCAATTCCAACAGTCCGGTGGATACTCGTCCGGCGGTGGCTACTCGTCCGGCGGTGGTTACTCATCCGGCCCATCCTCCTCTTACGGAGCTCCATCCAGGCCGTCATCGTCCTACGGAGCACCGTCGTCCTCTTACTAATAGCTGTCGGTGCGCAGCTCGGCTCGTCGACACCATCTCGCACGAAAAACACCACAAACCGCAGTAACCCGCATAAAATATTATAATATCCATCATCATCGCATAACGTACACAGACTATCCTCCGCCCTTTCGACGCCGCCGTGCCAGACCGCAACGCGATCTACCTGTACGGCAGCTTTTACTGCTTTACATATTTTTTATTACTATATTACTATGCACTCGCGATCTGCAGTTCTTCTCTACAACATTCGTAAATCAAATTCAAAAAAAGCGAGTGTACGATATATATGTTGTACGTAATATATATAATAGTATAATGATACGACGCATCGTTGTGTGGATGACATAATACATATATGTATACCTATATAGATATTATAATATATATAGTGTGAGCTTACGACAAAGTGTATATATGTATTAGTTTACCGTTGACATCGACACGGCGGCGAGAAAGAGCACATAATTTTCGTATTTTTTCTGAACTGTATTTTTTTTTATATTTTGTTATATATATAATGTTTTTTTTTTTTATCTATTGTTATACGCGTGTAGTCGAAAGTTAAGCCATATCGCATACTTAGATACTTACATATTATTATGATATAATATTACAATAGTGAATACTAGACTAAATGTAATATTGTCTGATCATTTTTTTATGTATAAAAACAATACGGCCAAAAGATAAGAGATAAAAATTCTATTTTTTTTATAAAATATTCTGTTTTTTTTTTATTATTCTTTTATATTTCTTGCCATTTACACGTGCATAGCATGTTACGATACTGCGAAGAGGGAAATAGATAGGGCGTGAAAGATAGGAGTTACCACTTACCAGCGCATTCCTTGATGTGTTTTTCAACACTCCATAACTTCATAGGCATCACTTGGTAAAAGTATACATAATCGTGTTTTGAGAGCTGAGTTATGGGGTTTTGAAAGTACCCGTATTGATTAAATAAGTAATTTATTACATCTATACAGTGATTATGTGATTAGGAAAACGATGCAGTGGAAAGAATACATCGAGTCAATAATAATTTCAAGAGATATTATAACTGGTAAAAGGCTATAAACACGCTGTTGTTGCATATATTGGCTATTGGTATTTGGTCACATATTATTATATAAACACAAGGAATACGTGTATGTAAGGAAAAAAAATTCTCTGGTAGTCAGTCTGGTGTAATCGTTATCGATTTTGGATACTTTTTTCAATCTCTTTTTTCGATATCTTTTGACAGCAGCTTCGTTTCCAGCGTTTATTATATGACGTTTTAATGACATTGTATGATAAATATACGACATAAAGAATATAGCCTTTCACATTAATAGTATTCCGTTTCTCGTTCTACACGATGTTGAGGCAATAAGTGTACAAATTGTAATTTATCAAATTAGTTTGTGTTTAAAATCGGAGGTCGTTTTCGTGCGACGTGCATGGTTCAGCTGATATACCTACATAAGGCTATATAGCTATACAATATACATATACTAATATATTTATATTTTATACACTAGTAAATTTAGTAAAACAACATAATAGAGTACATGTACATTTTACAGGCTAAAATCCTAGGCAGTATTGAAATGAAAATGTTGATGTTTTTAAAAAAAATAAAATCTCAGATAGTTGAAAAATTAAAATATGTAAATATTATAGTGATAAAAAGACGAAAACTTCGCAGCTCGCTCAGGAATTAGGTTATAGATTACAATATTATAAATGTTGCACAACAATAATGACCCGCCAAAGTGTCCCTATCGCCGTAGCAGTGGCCACCACGTACTTACATACGACAGGAAATTATTATATTGTCAGTTGGTACATGTTTATATACCACGAATGTGTATAGAGTCGATTATTATTAGCGTTTTGTTGTTTGCTGCGAACGCGCGGCCAAGGTTTCCTATAACTGGGGACTCGGCCAAAAACTGGACGAAAAATTGAGAAATTCAGACGACGTTTTTATCGTGAATACATATTATAATAGGTAAGCACAACAATCACGTGGTATTCGGACGCTGATACACGAGCACTTGTGTTACATATATATATAATATATATACCTATAATACTACATTGGCATATAGCGTGTTGTTCTCAGTTGTCACAACTATAATAATATATTTTAGCGTATAGGTATACACGTTGAAGGCGGATTTTTTAAATTACAAATTAAATTAGGCGGCTGTACACAATATAGGTGCCTTATGTATAGCAACAGTACCTATACATAACGACAAGACTACGACGCACAGGTAGGCAGTAGACGCTGACTTGAGCACAGTATAGGTACCTACATACACCCGTTACAGCGCGTATGGGTACACCGGCAGTGCGAATTGTTGCCACACCACGCACCGGAGTGGTTTTAGCAGCGTTTCTAATCGTTAATAACCAATCTGTTCAACGCGAACACGTGCATAATAATTACGATTATAGCTGATATATATTATATATACGTGGATAGTTAAAGGTAACTCCTATGTATATATATACACTATCTCGGCTAAGTAATGTGTGTTGCGAAACAAGACTCGCGCGTGTATAGTTTCGCGACGGATGCTATTTACCAAATTATTTATAGATTTGTTTTTTTTACCGATCCGGCCCAATGATAATAAATTAGGTGTAGGACTCGGATAAACGCGCGAGAGTGCGGGGTGGGAAGTACTACTCCGGTAATAAGGTGTTCAAGGTATCGAATAGGAAAACAAATCAAATAAAAACGAGAAAAATCTTTTTTTTAGCAAAGTAATTTATTTATGAAAAGATGCTAAACGCTTTTGATACGAGCATTGTATAACATATACACATATAAAGATAAATAAAGGTAATTTTTAGAATATTAACCTTAGAAATAACAATTTACACGAAATATAAACAACATCATTTCATTGCAGGCGAATGGAATTTTTATCATCCTGTAAGACTCTTGACAAGTATGATCAGCAGATTGAAAATGATGAGGGGATCTGAAATAAAATTTTAATCATACACATAAATGAGATATTAAAAGGTATAGTATAGGTATATATATATAAAGCGATTTCGTCAATAATATCTAACAGGGCGTATATAATATAATTTAGTGTTTCGACAAACTTATGCACTTGCAAGAAACCGTACGATGAAATGAAAGTAATTTGTTTTTAAATTTAAAACTGTGGAAATAGTCGCTGAAATATTAACCATTTGCATTATATAACACGTAGTTACGTCTACTACAACGCATCTATGACCTAAGGAGTATAATACATTCACAGAATTGTACTCTACCTATTACCTATACACAACAATATATAATATACATACGCGTACACGTTAATTCACATAAGACTTAATTTTACGATGACCCAGTTCGAAACACTTCTTTAATCAAATTACAAAATTACATTATGAAGGCTGTAATAATATGATATAGATTTTTATTTTTGATATTTTATTATGGAGATAAACGTCTACAATCGGGGCTATATATTATGTAAAATCGTACGTTAATACGTTATCGTACTTTTAATGAAGGTAATTACGTACAGGTACAGTCGTACAGAAAAGTATCGTATTAATAATTAAGAACTGTAATACACCTAGTACAATAAATTTTGATATTAAACCGTATTTTCTAGACACTAATACGATCGTAATCCGCAACCGCATAACTCGCTCCGGTATAATGATCGGGTCAACAAACTCGAAAAGAAACAACAATAACATTCATTTTATTCAACAATAATATTTGGATAATAGTTAATAGGTAGGTATTACATTAAATACAGTTTAATTATTGAAAGTATGTATTTATTGGATGAAGTAGCGTAATTCTAAAAAAATGGGGTAAATACAATGTTTTTTTATAGCACGGGCCCCCCTTTTAAATACGCCACTGATATAGTAGTAGACAGTCTAAAAGTATAAATAAATGGCTATGGACTGCCTATACGCTGCGCCTTAAGAGGACGTCGTACCCGCTGTGTTGTCTCAGTCTTGCTAATGCATAAGATATCTACAGACTACCACAGAATAGATTTAATCTATTTTGTGTATCTACCAAAACGTACGCCCAGCAGTTTCAATTTTGTATTGTTGACTTAAATTTTATAGTTAATTGACCTAATACAAAATTTCGAATGAACGTTATCACTTATCAGTGGTCTCTCGTAGATTTTTTACGATATTTTTATTTTTGAGTGAATTATGATAATTTGTAAATATATTTTATTTATGATTCATTGTGGTCTTGGAATCAAAACATTAATACATTAAGGTAATTTTATTTCGTATGTTAAAATATAACAAAAACATAAATTTTAAATAAGAAAATAATTTTTGTACAGTATGAATATTAAATAAGAAAACAAATTATTTTTTAAAATTAAAATGTTGTAAATTAAATAATTTGTATTTTTGGACTTGTCTCCAACTCGAAATATATGCTCAGAATTTTTGTCCAGCATTAAGGGTCAGGATTTTTTTTCAAATTGTCCTTTTTGTCCCATAATTTTTTGACTGATTTCCAATAATTATATAGGGTAACAGTCAGACACTCCGACGACCCAACCTGGGTGTAGGCTTGTCGCGGATTTAAAATACAAATAATAATATTTTGAATATATTTATAAATAGAATGTTAAAACATAATTAAAGTTATATTCTGAAAAAAGCATACATTTTGTAAACCATAACGTATATATTGTGTAAAGCAGTAAAGAAGTATACTTTTCTAAGATAAAAATACATATAGAATAGGTACAATTTTTTAATTTTCAGTCAAAGTAGTTACTTGATAGACTATCATTATTAAAAATACGGTCCAGCAAAAATTGATGTCTCCTGTTGATGGATATAAACGTTATTTTATTAAGCTAATTATAATAAAAAAATATTGAATATTTAAAAGCATTTTACTTTTAAAAATTTAAAAATATATGTAGATCAATCACTGTTAGACAAGGCATACTAGATTATAGCCAATTTATTATACATAACTATTATGAGATGCATTTTAAATTAAAAAACATTTGACCATGTAGGTACATAAAAAATGTAAAAACATCAGGTTGGTTGTATATTTTATTTTTAAGAGTGAGTTTACATGGTTTTAAAAATGTAAGATCATATAATGAAGACCTCAAATAAAATAATATGGTAAGTAGAAATAAAAAAAATATTGTTTATAGATTAAATTTAAATATCAGTTTTATAATAGTCAACCTTATTTTACAGAAATAAAATAAATAGATAGTTAACAGAATGACCCTAGTATACGAAATTATCATTATACAATTATTTATAAATATATAATGAAGAATGAGTGAAATTACAAATGATTATTTATATATATTATTTATATCTTATGTATACAGAATAAACTTTGTAACGTAAAATATAAAAAACTAAATTTCCATGTTAAAAATAATTTGGTGCTTAAAATAAAAATTTACTTATGTATAAAATACATTTTTAAAAACACAAGTATTTATAGAATTTAATAAATATCAACTGACATTTTAGTTTTAGGGATGGAATACAAATATTTGAAAAAATACAAACATTGTAATAAATTATTCTGAACCATCAATATTAGCCTTTTGGGTAGATACTTAAGAATGTAGAAGTTGTTAGACTATTAACTTTAAAAAAACAATGCAAAATTAGGTATATTCTAGGTTAATACCATGGATAATTTAGCAATACTAAAAATATAGGTCATTAAACATTTTATAGTAGGTATTAGGTAGAATAGTCACTATTGATACATTTTGCATAACGTATAGATGTGAACAAGTTTTTTCTACCTACTGTCATTAGAAAAACAAACACTGCGATAGACTTGATATTAAGAGAGGTTCTTAACCTTCTGTGGCATATAGAACACTAATTCCAATAGGTAACTCAATTTTCACACAAAAGTTTGCCTCGAGTGAGGCAATCAGTAGGTACTTACACTTGACGACGGTACGGATAGACTTCATGAGGGTCAGTATCTGTGTTTTTGTGGTTGGCATGTCCTCAAACTCTCGATTCACAGTGGACCAGCCATCTAAAAAAAAATAAGAAGGAAGGTGTAAATACCAAATAACAAATCTAATTTTAAGGGTCGACTGATTGGAGACCTGGTGGATAGGGAGGTACTTACATTTGGCCAGAACCCTGTCTTCGTTCAGGATGCATATGGCGTTCAGACACAATAGAGAGGCCTCAAGCAGGGTCCACAATGAAAATCCCATGTCTGTCGCACGTCACCCGACGGGGCAGCCAGAAAATGCTACGCCAACGTGGAAATTACTGGAAAATTTCAAATTTATATTCGAAATCCAATCGCCTGAGTCTGATGTAAACATGAAATCGCGAGCGTTATCACACTACGTGTCCCGTCTGTTATCGGCGGAAGCGACAACGAAGCATTTGAAATTAATGGCGGGCAAATTTCTTCCATGCTCGCCCGTCCGCTTATCAGTATCGCGTTCTAACCTACACAGCAGCTTGCGTTTGCACTGTTTGCAGACTATTACTGTATGTAGCAGACCAAGGCTTGATAACGGCGAAACTACGACGACGGACGACGGTCGTCGGGGTCGGGACTTTCGTTTTTCGGGTTTAAGGAACTTTACAGGTATTATTGGTGAGGAAATCAAATTAACAACGAATAAGTAGCTTTTAATTGTCATTAATTAATTGTTTGGTTGCTATTATTATTATTTTTATCGTCGGCTCCGTCGTCCGAACGCCGGTCGGGAGTGAAGTGCGAGTCGTGTCCGTCGCCGTTTCGACGGTTTCGTATTTATTTTTGTTCGTGAAAGACGAAAATATGTGCTCGTCACGCCGCCCGTGTACGTAGTGTGAGCACGCGCTCGCCCGCTGCTCCAAATCTCCCGACCGACCCAGTCGTCGCCGCTGCACGTGCATCACACTGAGTGAGGCGATGTTGGGACGTTGTTAAACTCGCCTCATCGTCGAACACCGTGGGACCTGACGACGGACTTAAGCCAGAAGAAATTGCTCCTTAAGGTCGGCTAACGGATACGCTCGTCAATCAGGTAAATAGTTTTATGTTTCTCGCCAGTGATGGCTGACAGCATTCATGCTTCTCTAAGCTGCATGATGTGTCATATCCACTTGGCAACATTTATGTGATGCTGCATTATGAAGCACGAAGGATATTGTGCATTAGAGGGGTGACACAAACCATTGTTATCTTGAAAATGTCTTTTTCATAATTTGCATTGATTGACTTGATGCCGTTCTCATTACGATTTACAAAGTCCCGGTACAAGGTCCAACCTTACAGTTCTCCAATCTCCACTAAGTATGTCTAGTAGAATTCCATTAGTTTTTGATCGAATTAATTTGATTGAATTTTATATAATTTTTGTTTTATTATGCTTCTGGGGATAATCAACTTTTGTGATTTATTGACTTAATTAGTTTTACCAGTAAAGAATACCGGTAATTACAACCTATATTTTTATAATTGACTGCAATACAATGATTTGGCATTATTTATTTTTCGTTGAATTATTTAAATTGTATGCATTTTACTGTAGGTAGGTAGATATATCAATATGTTTAGACATAATATATAGTTTATTATAATACAAATGGTAGGCATATAAGTTGTAAATATATTGCCAATGATGAATAAATATATTTTGAAAAAAAAATAAACAGGTAGGTAATATGATATTAGTTATATTTTATGTCATTTTTTTACTCATTTAGTTTAAGTCTGAGGCAAATAAGTAGTTGAAAAATTTAATAGATACCTACTTGATATATTTAACTATGTATTTTCTTACCTATGTAGGTAGACTACCCACATAAAATATGTATAAACTCATATGAGTTGATTTTTTTATCATATCAACATGTATAACTTTTTTTAGATAAAAATGGATTCCGAATCAAATGATGTCGAGTTGAAAAGTGTCGTTTCAGATACGAAACGCACTAGGTTTCAAGTAAATTTGGTGGATTGTGAAACTCCTCAAAGGATGCGATTAGACAGTGCTTCGTCAGATGATAACAAATATAAAAGTTTTCGGCAATTGACCCGTGAAGCATTGCCAAGATTGGATAATTACAGAAACATAATGTCAGTGCATGTTGCATGCAGACCTACTCTAGATGAACTGCATAATTGTGATTTGGCTGAAAAAGTATATATATTTTTTTAATTAAAATTACCTTTCATTTTATAATATATTTATTAATTGTTATAGAACATAGAAGCTCAAGATAATGAACCAAGTAGACCAATAAAGAAAAAACATGAACAAGGATGGATTCAAGGAGTTCTTATCCGTAACCTAGTACAAATATGGGGTCTGATGTTATTTTTAAGAGTAGCATGGGTTGTCTGTACTACTGGTTTAAGTAATATAACTTTAATTTTTTAAATTATCTTCAATGGAAATTTATATAAAAAAAATCAGTTTCAGGAATTGTGATAATATTATTTGGTGGTGCTATCACGACTATAACAGCTTTATCCATGTCAGCAATCAGTACAAACGGGGTATTGAAGGAAGGCGGAACTTATTTTATGATATCTCGTTCTCTTGGGCCAGAATTTGGTGCTTGCATTGGTGTGATTTATTCTATAGCTTTGTCTGCTGCATGTGCAATGCATATGGTTGGATTTTGTGAAATGGTGCAGATTCTCATGAAGTCGTTTAATTTATATATACTGGATGGTGATGTACAAGATATGAGAATTCTTGGGATCTGTTTAACAGCTGCATTGTTATGTGCAACATTATTTGGCATTCGGTCACGCATCCAAGTAATAAATAAATTATTACTTAGATTTATGTATTATTAATTTACTATTTGTTGGTTTTTTTTTAATTTTTAGGTGCATGCGGTTGTACTAGTTCTTATAATTGCAGCGATTTTAGATGTATTTATAGGAGCTATTTATGGGCCAAAGACTGATTCTGAAAGAAATGAAGGTTTCATTGGTTTTAGCTGTAAGCAAAATTAGTAATGGCTTAAACCTAGTGTAGTTTTATAATCTAATATCCATTAATTGATTATTATTTTTCAGGGGATGTAATTAATTATAACATGTTTAAAGATTTTAAAACCTTTGATGATTGGTGTAAAAGTTTTTGGTATGGGTTTAGTATATTTTTTCCAGCAGTATCTGGATTTTTAGCTGGAACAAATAAATCAGGCGAATTAAAGGTAATTTAAATTCCTATATTTTATTTAAAATCTTAAAATATTATATACAAGATCATATTTTATTTAAATAACAAATAACTGAATATGTTATGTATATATTTTGATCTATCTCAGAAAAAATCACATATACTAATAATAACCAAAATGTGCTCCAAATATTTGACAATGGTATCAATCTGTAACCAATCTTAAGTGAAGGAACTGTTCTAGAATATTCAATTAACCATTCTTTTATTATTACACCCTTATTTTAATAAATAAGTTTGGTTTTGAAGTTCAGTCATTGATTAAATATTGAATTGATGGTTCAGTATAGTTACTAGTTAGTAATAACCCATTCACCAGGTATCATTGTACGGTGTTAATATTCACCCTAGACATTTAAATACACTTATAAAACTAACTTAATATTATTGTGTCTCTAACTTAATACCTTCTAATAACACAATATGGATATATATTTGGAGTTTTTATTTTTCCATATGTTTCGGTATAAATGAAATTATGTGGTAGATTTTTATCCCACACGACATGAGTGAATGTGTCATCTATTTCCATGCGATTGGTGACAGGTTTATACATGAATCATTAGTAACCACTTTTGAGAAAAAAAATGATAAAGTCATTATAGCAGAAATAAATTTTTATACTAATTTTTTAATTTTTATTTGTTATCTAGGATTCATTAAGAGCAATACCAAGAGGTTCCTTAACGTCTATTTTTATTTCTTCTTCCATATACATTAGTATAGCAATTTTGGTTGGTTCAACATTTAAAGATCAAGATCCACTTTATAAATCTAATTTTGATGATCATAATAAACACTATGTAAGTTTTTGGCCTATTTAAAAATAAATACTTTTTTAAAATGTATTGTTTATTTTATTTTCATAACAATTTTTAGGCAGTCAATCGGACTATTGGACTTATAGCATTTTTTAGCCCATTAGTATACGCATGTATCTTGGCCTCAACATTAACAGCCTCATTTTCTTCATTTTTAGCTGCTCCAAAAGTATTTCAAATGTTATGCAATGATAGACTTTACAATAATCTAACATGGTTTGGATTTAGTAATAAATCGGGAGAGCCAATAAGAGCTGATATTTTGACTACAATAATTGTTTTGCTGTTTATACTTCCTGGTACTATAAATTATATAATTTGTGTATTCTATTACTGTTAATAACAATAGATTTGGTATTTATAGGTAACTTGAATGCAATATTACCTTCAATATCAAATATATTCCTTAGTGTCTATGCGTTGATAAACTTCAGTACATTTCATGCATCTTTAGTCAAGCCAATTGGATGGCGTCCTACTTTTAAGGTAAAGCAATTATAATTATTCATTTTTATTAACATTTATAATTTGTAAAATATTTTAATTCAAACTTTTTATTTCTATTTCAGTTGTATAATATGTGGTTAAGTTTAGGTGGTTCAATGTTATGTGTAGTATTGATGTTTGTCATTAGCTGGGGAACAGCTCTGGTGACGTTAGGAGCTATATTAGCCTTGTACTTAATAGTATCATATCAAAAACCAGGTAATTATATTGATTTAGAGATGAAAAGTATTCAAATACTTAGAAATTATTTATTTCAGATGTCAATTGGGGTACAAGTACCCAAGCTCAAACTTACAAACAAGCCCTAATGGCTGTTCACAATCTCATCAGGGTTGAAGATCATGTTAAAAACTTTAGGCCTCAACTGCTTGTACTTACTGGAATGACGTCTTCTAGACCATCATTAATTGATTTTGCACATCTCATTACAAAAAATTTGTCGTTACTCGTATGTGGAAATATTATCAAAGTATGTTTGTATATTAAGTTTAAGTATTGAAACTAATTATATTTTAAACAAAATTATTTTTAATCATCTAAAATCTTAAAATTTTAGGCTCCATCTTCACAAAAGTTACTTGAAATTTATTCAAAACGTGCCATAAATTGGTTATGTTACCATAAAATCAAAGGATTTTATGTACAAATAGATGGTACTAATTTTGATGATGGCGCTAAAAGTTTAATGCAAACAGTTGGTTTAGGCAAACTGAAACCAAATATTGTTTTGTTGGGTTATAAGAGCAATTGGTTCAAATGTAGTTCTCAAGATTTAAATATGTATTTCAATGTGTTGCAGTATGTATTAAAACAATTGATTTTG